TCTCACAATGCATTTTGTGAGATGTAATTGTGCGGATTAGGGATGTGGCTTCATAATAAAAGCATCAGAACTTGTTTGGGTTATTTTATCAGTATATGTGTCCTATGTTCAGAGACAGGAGAAGATAATGTGCACATCTTATCTCATTGCCCCTTGAGCAGAAAAAGATGGGATTTTATGGTGCAGGAATTTAGAATTTCTTGAGTTTTTATGCAAATGTTAAGCAAAATCCGCGTCAGATTTCCAAGGGCACATTTTTATAAGAAAAGCAAGGGTTTTACTGATTAATCAGATTAAAGTATTGTTTTGGGGAATTTGGGCTGAAATGAAAGAACAAGAGTTTGTTTGAAGATTTGTTTTCTAACAAGACGTGATTGGGCGGATTGGAGGTTGCACTTTCTGATAGATGTGGCTTTAAAATAAAAGCGTCACAACTTTCTTCTGTTTAATTATAATCAGGATGATGAAATCGAGATTTAATTGATTGAAGAACCGAAGAGTATTCCTGTGTCTGTTTTTTGGAACTCAGCCGGGTAACTGTTCTGCCTCATTGTGTGTTAGTCCCAAAGAGGGCTATCAATTTTCATTTGACGATACACGTCTGGGGGAGCATACTTGAGAGGAGATGGACACAGGCGGTACAGAGGTCCCCCACTTAGGAACTTTCCACATTCAATGGCGAAAACTGTACCGGGATCAATCTCTATGTTATGACAAAATGCTTGCGGCGTCTTGTTTATTTCAAGGGCTTGGATTACTTTAATGGTAGTAATTAAATGCCTATATGTATTATTATGACCTGGTAGCATGGACATCGTCATTTGAGTCTAGTATCAGTGTCAAATATGTTATACGTGGACACAATCTGAATGAAAATCAGATTGGACATGCTCTGAACACCTGGGAATGTGGTCTTGAGTGTCATATTTATCTTATTTAGTAAGATAAGAATTCATAGTTTTCGATCAAATTTTAAATACTTATTATTAGGGAAATACATGGGCTTTGTCTAGGAGTCTTAATACAGCCGAGAGGCTTCAAAGACGGTTCCCCACCTGGGCTTTGTCTCCTTCTATTTGCAGTCTTTGTAATAGGGTGAAGAATCTATTGATCATCTTTTTCTTCACTGTCCTTTTGCCTACAGTGGGTGGAGTTTCATTTTAAATGAACTTTGGTTGTCATTATGTCTCCCAAACAGAGTGGATGAGTGGCTGATGGAGGGGCTCCTGGGGATTCAAAAGGAAACCTATGATCTTATGGAATTGTGCAGTTAGAGCTACCTTATGACTTATATGGAATGTGATGGGCCTAGGCCTCAATTTTATTTATCAACACAGTCAAAGGGAGATTAGAGAGCTCCCTACCTCTCCCAATTCTCATAGAGAATACAGAAACAATATTCAGCAAAAAGATAGCCCTCTAGCCACCACCGTTCTTTCTCATAAACCCCTAAGGCCCTCTCATAACTAACAAATATTCCCTATGGGGCCCACCTACTTAGTGTGTAATGCTCCCCCTCACACAGTCTCTCTCTTCTTCACATGCCTACGCTGGTATACTCTNTAACAAATATTCCCTATGGGGCCCACCTACTTAGTGTGTAATGCTCCCCCTCACACAGTCTCTCTCTTCTTCACATGCCTACGCTGGTATACTCTAGTGACTTGGGGTCTATCAGAATGAAGGGAAGCTTAGAATTTTTTAAGGTAAAAACTGTTCAGATGATGATTCTTTTATCTGTAGTATACAGCACTTGGCTTCTTGGTGGGGTGGAAATCACAAAGAGTTCGTTTGTAATTACAGCATCATTCCATGATTATTAGAAATTGGAAGGTGTTCCTGTGATTGTATTTCATTTGGGAGAGGGTTTTCTCTACTCTTGCCCTTGGGCTCTCTTCTTCTGCGAGCTTAATGCATTTAGTACAGTTTCTTATATATACATAGATAAAGAAACAAGGAAGCAAACAAATGAAAAATTTCAGCACAAATCAGCTAAACTAGTACTAGAATGAAATTGTATATGTGAGTAATAGTGAGAATTCTGTGATCTCTTGCAGCTGATTACTGGTTTAGTTCTTGAAAAAGAGAGAGAACTTGGAGTATAAATTCTTCAGATATTTTTTCAGTAAACTCTGGTTAAAGAGTTTGTGGTTAATTCCATGGGAGATCTTCCATACTATCTTGGAAGCTTAACAGTCCAAGAAAAGTTGATTTCTTGATTAGGATTTTGCTTTTGGAAGGAGTAAACACAACAGAAAAGCTTTAGAAAAGGTGCCTGCCCGTTTGGGTGATTTGTCAGTATATGTGTCCTATGTTCAGAGATAGGAGAAGATAATATGCACATGTTTTGTCATTGATTCTTTGGCAGAAAAATTTGGGATTTTATGGTGCAGGAATTTATAATTTCTTGATTTTTCTTAATGCAAATGTTTGGTGTAATCTCTTTCAGCATTTCAGAGGGCACATATTTAAAAAGAAAGCCAAGGTTTTATTGATTAATGGGATTAAAGAATTGTTTTGGGGAATTTGGGCTGAAAGGAACCAAAGTTTGTCTGGAGACTAGTTTTCTAGTGAGACAGATTAGTTTGAGGTAAATAGTTAATTAATTTCCATGTAGCCACCTGGCATGCCAATTCAATTTGCAATTGTTATATTAATGATCTTTGTCATTTGGCAAACTTTATTGTAGTCTCCTATTGCAGTCTTGTTGCACACTGTAACCTATCAATGGTTAATAAAAAGTTTGTTTGGTGTCAAAACCTTTTGGAATCAAACAGGAAAAGGGAAAGAAAGAAAGATCAATAAATTTCACTAATCTATCTCACTAGAAAATGATGTTTGAGAAAAAAGTTATACTGCTTGAATGATTTCTTGTTTATCTTTCCTTGCTAACTTCGTTTTCAACACGATAGAAGATAAGTGGAGTCTGACTTGTGAGTTCGTGAGCTCTCTTCTAATTGCAAGTCTGTCCTGCAAGAATTTACAAAGGATGCTCAACTTCTTTGCTCGAATCTTTTCAAATCTTCATTTGGGAGTTTCTTAGACTCGGAATTCTGTGCTTTTCAACCTACATGCACTCCTCTCAAATCTCTTTTGTAATTTTAATATTTTCTTTAATTAGCACCAATTAAAGTGCCTTATGGTTAAGCTTCTTTGCCTTGTGGGTGTAATAAAATCCTATAATTGTTTCTTATCTAAAGAAAATGTCCATATTGTTTCTTATAGAAATATTAATTCTTTTGGCGCTACTGACTTTTTCTGGTTCATTCCTGTATTTAGCACAAGTTCGCATTTTGGTACACTCGTCGGACACCTGGAGTTCGGACTCAAACATCATATGAGGACAATATAAAAAAGATTGTGGACTTTAGCTCGGTACGATCTGTAAACATTCATATTCTGAAAAACTATTCTTAGACTGTGGTAATCTTACGTCAGTCTTTACAATTATTTGTTTTTTGAATGATTAAGCTTTTCTTTTGCATAGGTTGAAGGTTTTTGGGTAAGCTATTGCCATTTGGCTCGTCCCTCTTCATTGCCAAGCCCAACAGATCTGCATCTTTTTAAGGAAGGAATACGCCCACTCTGGGAGGTAATATCTCGAGGGATGCTGCATGCAAATATCTCCTTAGGCTTACTGGGGAGTGAACTTTCCGTTCCTTTTTCCCTTGTTATAATGTAACACAGGATATTGAAAAAGGGTTTGTATTTCTCTACTTAGTGGGGCGCCTGATTCCTATTTCAATGTGTGCTGATTTATATTATCTTTCAGGACTCTGCTAACTGCAATGGTGGGAAGTGGATTATAAGATTTAAGAAAGTTGTATCTGGTCGGTTTTGGGAAGATTTGGTAAGTGATAGCAAAAATAAATATCCTTACAATCAATATATGTTATTTATCCATCTTTATGAAATTAGTTTTTTTTTTTAATCTTGATCCATAATTAACTGTTCTCAACTTGATTGTTGAAATTTAGAGTTGTCGGAAAATATTGATGAATAATGCATGAAATAATTATTCAATATCTTCATATCGTTTAAGTAGTCCCAGTAGTTGATTTGATGCCCCCTCCAAAAAAAAAATATATATATATATCATTTACTAGACTATTGGAGTGTTCATTTCATACTGTTCAACCTTTGAGAACTAAGGTTGATGCATATTGTGTTAAGTGATTTTGGTGGAATGTATGTTCCATTTTCAGCTGGTTGCTCATGAAAAAATTTTATACATCGTAGCTTTCATTTGCTGAGTTTGTGTAATTCCATTGAACATCCCCAGGCCAGGTTCTTTCCTTCAGATCCGCTTCCTTGGTTGTTGTTTGCTTACAGAGACAGCCAACACAGATTTATCATTTATCTCGAAACTCAAAACTCTACTAATTCTCGCTGAACCTCAGCTTTGGTGGAAAAGTTGGAGGAAATGATAAGTTTTGTTGGAAAAGCTTGTTGGATTTTGCTTAGGTTCTTGCCAAATGCTTGAAGATGGAAGCTGAAGAAGCTGAAAGATTTTTTTTTGGCATATTGTTATTGAATTATTGATTGGTAGCCCCTGGACACTTCCTACCCTTTCCCATTAGTTGTAGAAGGCTAAAATTCCATAGAAGACCATTTTTACGTTGGTCTTTTGCCGAAGGTAAGCTCAACACATTGGACAGAATTAGTAGTTGAACCTGTCAACTTGTGCTATCCCCACATTTTACTGCGCATCTTTTTGTTGGTGAAGCTAGGATCTATGGGCCTGTGTAGCTTTGATTCCATGTCACAAGATATTTTGTTGGCTCCTTAAGAGCACCTCGTGGAATTTACCTTACTGGTTTCTGCAATCCCCACATTTGACTGCGTATCTTTCTGTTGGTGAAGCTAGGATTCTATGGGCCGGTGTTGCCAAGCTAGGATTCCATGTCAGAAGATTTTTTGTTGGCTCCTTAAGAGCACCGCATGGAATTTACCTTAGTTTCTTCCCTGTTCTATATGGGTTCCAATGAGATTCTTTATCATCCCTGATTGTGCCTTCTTTTTGCATGTTTTTTGTTTGAGTTAGCCGCATACGTGTGTGTATTTTACATGAGCTTTTGGAAAGGCCGGTTCCATAGACCAATCAAAGCTTATGTTGTACGCTTCTGCAGGTTCTCGCATTAGTGGGCGACCAACTTGATTTCGGCGATAACATATGTGGTGCCGTACTTAGCATTCGTTTCAACGAGGATATTTTGAGTGTCTGGAACCGCAATGCATCCGATCATCAGGTCTGTAACTTGGTCTCTTACTGCTCCACGACACATAAGTTCATACAGAATGATGAGTTTTATTTATTTATTGTATGACCATAACATACCATACCAGGCCGTGATGGGTTTGCGAGATTCAATCAAACGGCACTTAAAGCTCCCACATGGGTATGTCATGGAATACAAACCCCACGACGCGTCTCTGCGTGATAACTCGTCATACAGAAACACATGGTTGCGAGGGTGAAAGGAGGAGATGCGCCTCATCTGCTGCTATGGCTACGGGTATGGCTGCCGAGTCATACAAGGGTGAATGATATTAGCATGGTCTGTGTCCCGTAATTGCTTTTGACCCTTCTTTTAACGTCAGCAATTAATTCACTTTTTTGAGGACTTTGGAGCTTTTTCTTTATTTTACATGTTTGCTCTGATGAGAGGAGAATAGGGCTTGTAATGTAAATATGTGGGCAATTTCTAACTGCAGCCTGCTCTAAATTCACAAGACAAGTCAACTTCTGTTTACATGTTATAACTTAAAATTGTTCTCTCATTCTTTTCTAGGACAAAACTTAACTGTCTCTTTGAAATCAGCCACATGTTTAATATTTATCCAATTTTTAACCATTTCTCTTTCTTTTTTTTTCATAATAAATTTGTGGCAGCAGGTAAAATAGGGGAGCAGCAAAGTTTTGTCCACTGTAAAGTGGTAACTAACTTGCCTTTCTCAACTGTCACTTCTTCTCTGATGATATGTCTGCTTCTTGTCCTTAATTACTCTCATTTTATAGTTATTTTATGCCATATTTGGGTCTTAGATTGAGACTGGGCTGGGCTGAATACCGCGATGGATCTAGAATCCGTTGTGCTTCTAATTTTTAAGTGTCGGGCCGACATTGTTTCGACTGACCCATCCACGCGATGGGGAGACATTTTAGATACGAGATTTTTTCCATGTATGGGTGAGCAGTTTGGTTCCATTTATATCCAAAATTGACATTGAACCAATTAGAAAAATTATAAATAGAAAACTAAAATTGATCTTTTTGAAAATCTAACCAACCACACTGATTATCATACAAAAAATAATTGAAAAATAAATTAGATTAGACCAAAACTGACAGCAAATGTTCGCATGATAACGTTCATTTTTTTTTTTCTATTTCCTATTTCTTTAATAAAGAAAAATATAATTACATTGCTCCCAACACCCATGAATCTAAGAATGATAAAATAAAATCTTTATTTATATCGTGAGAACAAATTAGAAACGAAAAATAAGAAACGGTAACATTGTCCAACATTATTAAAGCAACCGTGGAGAAATTCTAAAAAGAATCTTGTTTGTTTGGTATATGCCAGTGGACACAAAACTGATATTTACAACATTGGGATATTTTGTCTATGGATGATGTTAGTGTGCGTATAGGACAAACACAGCTGGCTAATATCAACTTCTTTTGTCATTGACAACTCACCATGAATCTTTCAACCAACCCTTTCAATTTAATACCTTCAATCATTTACTTTATTTTATATTTTAAATATCTAATCATCTCGAGAATAATTTTGTGAATCATGTTCCAATTACCTTTTTTGAAGTTGAAAGTTCAATCTACGCTTTAAAAATCCTCGATTTGAAAATTTTCATATAACCATATCACCACTCTAAAGTTAACAAAAATGGATTATCTATTCAAAACTTCATTGACAATTAAGTTGTAGAGTCAAATAGCTCTTTTTCTAGCCAAACATAGTTCAGTAGATAAAACATCTATTTTTTCAATCTTCCATCAAAATAATTGTTGAACTAAAAAAACAAAGCGAGTCTAAGACAACTTGAGGTTTACAAATAAAAAGTACATATGTATCTTTAATTTTCAAACGAAATTTATATTTATTATGATAATTATATCTATTGATCCTGTCATTTTTATATTTATCTATATTTATTTTGGTTCAATTACAATACTTTTGACAATTTTATCAATGTACATGACCTGGGAGAATTTGCAGCCCTTTAAATTATTTTTTTAGTTCAACCATTAAGGGTGAAAATCGAGTAATTGTTGTTGAGTCAGGTTTGGATTCAAATTCAAACAAAATAAAAGCCAAAAATGCATTTTCATTAGAAAGAATCACAAAAAGAAAATACTTATTTGAAGAATTAAATGAAAAAGAGAGAAAAAAAAAAGATCACAAAATTATAGGAACTAGGGACTAAAATAGGAATTTATAGGAGATATTAATTAAATAAATTGGTGTAGTGAAGAGGCGACAGTTGGCGAAAAATGGCGGGGCCCGTAAAGTTGGGTCTATGAATCGGCATCCACGCCAAAAACCGACACTTGGTTCAAGCTTAACCCAAAAACGTAGAGACAACAATAACAACTTCACATTTCTCTTCCTTTTTTACCCAATAATTCATTCAATACTTTTATCGCTATTTCCCCCTTCTCAGTTCTCCCTCTGCAGGCTTCCCTGGGTCTCTCTCTCTCTCTCTATCCTCTCTTTCTCTCTCCATCGCCCGCCCGCCCTTTCGAGAGAGATCCATTTCGGGATGAGGGAAATCATCAGCCTTCATATTGGTCAAGCTGGAATCCAGGTCGGCAATTCTTGCTGGGAGCTCTACTGCCTCGAACATGGCATCCAGCCCGATGGTCTCATGCCCAGGTTTTGATTTCCAACGATTGCGGTCTTAATGTGCTTGTTAACCCTTGTACTGATTTTCGATTTGTTTTTTTAATTGGATGGATTCTGCCTGCCTTGTGATGATTTCTGTGTGGTGGGATTGAATCCAAATTGCCGGGGTTCTCCGTTTTGGGAATTTCGTTTGGGTCTTTGGGGTTCTGAATTTTTGGGGCTTTTTTCGATCTGGGGAGTCGTGGGTTTTTTATTGCAAGATCAAACGGAGAAATGGGACCTGGGTTTTAATTTTAATTCTAATTAGATGCGCCTGTAGGCTGTATCGATCTTCATAACTAACTGGAATATTGTTCTAGTAAACTTTTTTCTGATGGGAGTTTCAAGTATAATAACCAATCAGGTGGGATTTGTTATGTTGGGGTTGATTCGTGATGGGAATGGAGGCCCACGATCCGATTTGTGTAATTGTTGAAGAGGATAAGTTGTGGGGCTTTTCTCGGAGGACCTTTCGGTTGAATTAATATTGGCATTTACTGAATTTTTGGAATGGATCCTTTTCCATTTGTGGAATAAAATAATACTTCTAATTATGGAGTTTCTTTGGTTTTTACCCTTTCAAACTCTAAGCATATAACCCTTGTTCTAATGATGTTTTGTTGTTTGTGTATGCTGCAGTGACACTTCGGTCGGTGTTGCACACGATGCTTTCAACACGTTTTTCAGCGAGACTGGTTCGGGCAAGCATGTTCCTAGAGCGATATTTGTTGATCTAGAACCAACTGTTATCGATGAAGTTAGGACCGGGACATACCGACAGCTTTTCCATCCAGAACAGCTCATTTCTGGTAAAGAAGATGCCGCAAATAATTTTGCCAGAGGACATTATACAGGTACATGTATTTCCGTTCCTTTCAAGTTTTTGTAAGGTCGCCCTTTTCACTGTGGTTATTCATTACTAAGCCTACTTTATTTTGACATTTTCCAGTGGGTAGGGAAATAGTTGATCTTTGCCTTGACCGAGTGCGAAAATTGGCGGACAATTGTACTGGTTTGCAAGGGTTCTTAGTATTTAATGCTGTTGGTGGTGGCACTGGATCTGGTTTGGGGTCATTACTTTTGGAACGCTTGTCTGTGGATTACGGGAAGAAGTCAAAGCTTGGATTTTCCATATATCCTTCTCCACAGGTAAGACACAAATTGTTAAGGCTTTGGTGGCTGTGAATCATAGACCGTACATTTTTCATTACTGATTTTCTGCGAATGTTTTGATGAAACATTCATGAAAAGGCCACTTATTTTTTCCAGAATTTTATCAATCTAGTTTAGACTATGGTAAAGGCACCAAGATGCAGCTATTGAAATCAGGATCTTCTTTGTTGATTTCTAGATGAAAGTTGGTTTCTTATCTGAAAAAAAGGATTAAAAAAAAAGAATCTGTTTCTGCTGAGAAATATTGAGTCGTCAACTTTTATCTGCATACATTCAAATCATTCTTATTGCCTATCAAGATTCAAGTCTATTATTAAACACTACGATCTTTATATGCAGGTATCTACTGCTGTCGTAGAACCCTACAACAGTGTGCTTTCCACTCATTCTCTGCTTGAACACACAGATGTTGCTGTGCTTCTGGACAATGAAGCCATTTACGATATCTGTAGGAGATCATTGGATATTGAAAGACCAACTTACACCAACTTGAACCGCTTGATATCCCAAGTCATCTCTTCTTTAACCACTTCCTTGAGGTTTGATGGTGCTATCAACGTGGATATAACCGAGTTTCAAACTAACCTTGTACCTTATCCACGAATCCATTTCATGCTCTCATCTTACGCTCCTGTAATCTCTTCTGCAAAAGCATACCATGAGCAGTTATCTGTCCCTGAAATCACCAACGCTGTATTTGATCCATCAAGCATGATGGTCAAATGCGACCCAAGGCATGGAAAGTACATGGCATGCTGTTTGATGTACCGAGGAGATGTCGTGCCCAAGGACGTAAACGCTGCTGTTGCTACCATCAAAACGAAGCGAACAGTTCAATTTGTTGACTGGTGAGTTAACTGCTCGGTGTTGTTAGAGTATGAAATCAATTATATTTGTGTTCTCAATGGTCTACATCTTATTGATGAAGTTGTTTAGAAGTAGAGGTAGTAACTTTTGCTATCTCATTTAACTATAATCAGCATGATATTGAACTCCTCTGCAGAAATCACAAAATTCATTCATGGTTTAGCATATGATTGAGATCCTGTTAGAAAGAATTATGCATCCAGAACTAAAATTCCCCGAAGGATCTTAGTTTAGTTTAGTTATCTTTAAAAAGGTTCTGAGAAATCAAGTAAAAGTAGGCATATATCTCTCTCTTAGTTCTATGGTTTGAATTAAACGTGGGATGGAAAATTTTCAGGTGTCCTACTGGCTTCAAATGTGGTATTAACTATCAACCTCCAAGCGTCGTTCCTGGGGGCGATCTCGCCAAGGTGCAGCGAGCTGTTTGTATGATAAGCAACAGCACAGCGGTGGCTGAGGTCTTTTCAAGAATTGACCACAAATTTGATCTTATGTATGCTAAGCGGGCATTCGTCCATTGGTACGTGGGTGAGGGCATGGAGGAAGGCGAATTCTCCGAAGCCCGTGAGGATCTTGCTGCTCTGGAGAAGGACTACGAGGAAGTTGGGGCAGAAGACATCGATGAAGAAGAGGAAGGGGAAGATTATTAATCCCATGAATAATACCTGTGTACCCTTTTGTCGTCGTTTTTGTGTTTGTTTCTTATTAAGTCAAGTTGTGCAATGTCTCGTGCATGGTGATCTTGAGGTGTGATGTTTCTGTTGTATGATTCTGTGTCTGTCAATTCTATTGATTTCCACAATTACAGTGTTTAGAACTTCTTGCATTCTTATCATAAGGAGCTGAGGTTTCTGTAAAGATCTTTTACTTTTTTTCGTGAAGAAACGAAGTTTCGGATTTCTGCCACTCTAATTTAAGCGAGGAAAAGTGTAAAAGATTTAAAGTCACTTTTTGAAGTACTTGAGACGTGCTTCTCTGGAAAAGTGCTTTTTAAAGTGATTAATCGAGAATCACTCTCTGCTTCAATTTTGAGTCTGATTGTGTGTTTTTTGTAGGGATGGTGAAGACTTATAGTTGCTTTAAAAATATTGCCTTTTTTCTCCTCCCCTCCTTTAATAGAAAAACAAGATCTAATAATAAGTTATTATCAGTGGATCAGGATCCTTCAGAAATGTTCCTTCAAACAAATAGCTTCTTTCCATATAATTTCATCACCCATTTTTTATTTTAACAATAACAATCAAGACAACGGTTTTGCACTGATATTGATAATCTTTTCTAATACTTGTACAACTATAATGTTATACTTCAACAAAATACACTTTTGGTCAAGGTTCCAATCTTTGTTGCTGATGCAAGGAGGACCTCGTTCTAGAACTTGTTCCTAGTTCTTTTTTTTTTTTTTTCTTCTTCATTCCAATGGCAACAATGTGAGAGGAGAAGAGTGATGGAGACGAAGTCGGTGGCTGACGAGGAGGAGGCAGTTGTCGTGCAGTTGGTCACTTTGCCATGATGACAGCACAATGACGCTCATTTGTAACGCCATAGCATCATGATGTTATGAACTTTAGGTATTTATCTAAATTAAGACAATGTGATACACACTATATAGTGTTATAGTGCTAACACAACTCCTTTTATAAAGGTGGGGTTTTGTGCGTGCAAAAGAACCATGCAGGAAAGGAAACAAAGTTGTTTTTACAATGGTAACAACCTTGACTGAATTGATATTATTGAGTTAGATCTATTGATTTGTCTTGATTGAGTTGTTATTTATTCTATTAATATATTTGTGTGATTAGTGCTATTAATCTCATGATCACATATTAATAGATATTAGATATGGAACTTGAATGTAACAATTTTAAGACTTGGAGATTTAGAGTTTATATTAAAAGATGGCTAAAAGAAGTAAATTTGAGTCCTTGCTGATTAAAATTAGAAATATTAATTTCTTGATTTGTAAGGACGTTTTAGAGCACGATTATAATTTATATTTATGTATTTTTACCTTATAGAACAATTTATTGGCTTGTGTGATTAGTTGGTAAAATCAGTTATCTAGAAACATTTTCTTATTATTTTGTTGGTTTATTTACATTTATTTTTTATTTTTTATTTTGATTATCTAAATAAAACTAGGCAATATTTTTCGTAGTGCTCAAGTGAATTATAAATCCAATCCAAATAATCACTTTTATTCACTGTTTTACGCTTGCATAATTTTTGCTACAGAATTATATACTTGGGATATTCAAGTTCTACTATTCTTTATTCTTAAAATATCAAATAATATTTATCTAGCAATTATTAAGGAAGAGGTAAATTAATTTTAAATAAGTCAGATATATTTTGTTTTCCTTTTTGTTACTATTGTTTTATTTTTATTTTTTTGTTGTTTTTCTAACCAATGTTATCCTCTTTATTTTTTATATATATATATATATATATTTATTTATTTGTGCTATTTGTGCATGCTTTAAATTTGTAAAATAGATTTATTCTAAAACGAAATACATCATATCTATTATCTTTAAAAAAAAAGGCATCATAACTATTTCTTTCTTTTTAAAGTCCAAGCACGTTCATTAACTTTTATTATATTAAACAAATTTAGATTCGTTGAGTTATTATTTAAGTGACACTAAGATTATTTTTAATCATTTATTTTTACTAGCAAGAAATACGCAGTGTACGTAAAATTTCATAGTTTCATTTTAATGTTTAAAAGTATAAAATTTAATTATTTTTTACTTAAATTACTTAATTTTTTCTCTAAAGAAAAATATATATTCATGGATTTTTCATTCTAATTTTGTTCTTAGATATAACAAGGCATAAAATAAAACTTTGTTTTGATTTATTATTCGAGTCATTGAAAAAGAAAATGAAAAAAAAAGTATTTGATCTCTTAGGCCTTTTTAATAAATATTTCAGGTAATCAAGTATTATTTAAAATAATAATTATTAACATGGCATTGAAAAAAAAACTAAAAGTCGAATGTTCAATTAAATAATCTAACTAAAATGTAAGAAAACACAAAACATGGACTAAAGGAGAAAAACATCAGGAAAGAAACCCAAATTTTGATGAATACAAATTTCTCCCTATGATCCATTATATAAAATATATTAAATTAGTACTAAAATGAAAAATGTTACATTTTTTTTCACTATAAATTAAATAAATAAAAAAGATGCACTATGTATCTACAATAATAATTTCCCTTTTTTAAAATCAGATGATTCGCCTCCTCCTACTCCTACATGAACAAAACCAGGTCTGCAAATCGCGAACCATTACTGGCTCTTCCGATTCCACTCTGAAACCCATTAGATTTTCTTCAACAACACAGTGGTAGATTTTCTTCCCCGAGCTTCTCTCTGAAATTTGGGACCAATCCCACGTCGCCGCTTTATTGGATTGCGGCGTCTAGTTTTAGTGTACATACGCCCAAAGAATCTGCGCACACTTAATCGCACCAGAGTATAGCATTCGGCCGTTTTCTGGGATCTGATTAATCGTTTGTAGCATCGTTATTGGGTCGATTTTCGTCTTTACTTGTATTCGCTGAGGGGCAGATGGGAACCAAGTATGTCCAGAAGAGTGCCAAGTACAAGACCTCAGTTAAGGATCCTGGCACGCCCGGCGTTTTGGAAATGGTACTGGTCTGAAGTTCATTGTACCTGTGTAGCTCTTCATCATCTTGGTTTTTTATTCTGTTTCATTCAACTAAATACTTCTGATTGATTGCATATGATGACCCATTAAACTATTTTCTTCAAAAATTGGGTATACTGTGCATTTTGTTGAAGTTTGAAGTTTAGGAAACAACGTCAATTTTCGAACTTTGCATGTGGAACGAAGAGTGATTTATTTTAGAGTTTGCAGGTTCCTTGTTATAACGTTTTATTTTGGAACTTGTACTGATATTATTGAATTTTGGAGCGAAAATGTGTTGGATTTCCCTTTGACTGCGTTGGTCTTCCTCTTGGCAATCAAAAAAACTCTAGCCCTTGGAACCTCGTCTTTGTGAGTTGCTAATGGAATTTTATAAGTGAGAAAGAGTCACGCTTTTAAAAGGTGGCAGATGAACACTGTACAGAGTTGCCTTTTCCAGTACACCCATCTATTAACTTTCTATCTTTGAAATGTCTAAGAAATGTGTCAAAGTGGTTCAGAAGATGAATAAGGTGATGGCATCAAGAGAAGTCCAACAAATGTTTTTGAACGGCATTTCTACACTTATCATTTGCATTGATCCCCTTCCAGCTAGTAGACCAATTGAATAAGTTGATTTTTGTGGACACTCTTGTTTCTAGATCTGCTTGCACAAAACATAGGGTGACATATTCTTTGGGGAGAGATGTTTAATTACTGAATTGGTGGAGAATCATGCCTAACATTCTATTTCTCTCACCAAGTGGACTGAAAAGATCTCTTTGGAGGCCCTTTTTGTAATTTTCTTGGTTGTTCATGTGGATGCCTTGTCACCCCCTTTTAACCTTTCTTCTTCTTTTTTTTTTTTGAATGAAATGGTTAATTATTATAATAAAATAGGAAAAGAAAACAATATAAATTTTTGAAATGCAAGTGAGATGAAGAGTGATTAGTTCTATAGTGTGTGTTAATCTTAGCTGCTAGTTGTTTGAAATATTTAGACATGTTAACTACTTGCTACAAATTGGCACAACTTTATCACTCACTAGTAGTGTTAGATAAATTTGGTTGTGCTATCTAATAATTATTTCTATTACGTTATGGAGTGCCGCTAGAGGGGCATGGAAAGAATATCCACATCCCCCTCCACCCACCAGGTTTAAGATTTACACAAAATTCTTGCTGATCGTGTAATTAGTTTGTTTAAATCATAGGAAATTTGAAATATTTCGATATGCATCTGTAATTGGGTTGACCATTTAACTGACCATACAATTTGTTCAATTATTTTTTTACTGTTCTCGTTTACTGCAGACAGAGCGCAAATTTGTATTCAAACCTAGTGATCCCACCTCAGCTTCTAAGCTTGACGTGGAGTTCAGATATATTAAAGGTACCTACTATATTCATTCATGGTTAAGATATATCTGTTTACATATTGATGGTCATGTTGAATGTGCACTCATAGTATTTGCCCTTACATTTATTGATGTTCTTTTTGAGGTATATATATATTCTTTTCATGTTAATTTCCTTCTTCAAGTGGCCTTAAACTGCCTGGATGTTTCATAATTTTGTATCTTTTTCATGTAACTTAGTGCATTTATTACGTTACCAGTTAGCACAATCGCAAATGAGTTTTTAATATTTTTCCCTCTACTCTTGTTCCTTCGTCATTGAGAATGACTGATGTCTAAGCTTATCTTTAACCTCTTTTCTGTTCAACCTTACTTTTTCATATGGTCTTGTTATGTCTTATATTTTGGTATATTTCAGGCCATAAAAACACCAAGGAAGGATCAAATAAACCACCATGGCTTAATCTCACCAGGGACCAGGTAATGCTTTATTTAACATCATCTATGAAATCCGAAAAGGGCTATCTGTAATTAAAAGATACCATAAGTTTGAGTACTGGAAATATATCATAATTAAATCATTGTAAATATGATTTTTGAATAAAACATAAAATATAATGAAAGGTAAATGGTGAATATGACAAGTTATCTAATATTTTAAGGAGTCCCATTCATAATTCTCTCCCTCAAGTTCATCAAAATTGCTTTTATCATCCAATTCTAAGAATTATTCTTTCAGTAGTTCTATATCAAATATACTCTGTACTTGATGAATAGTTTGAAGTGATTTCATTTAAAGCCTTCAGATCTTGGGCTCAAACATTATTTCAGACGAGCATATTGTGAGCATGTATTGAATTTATCATGCGAGCCAACAACTAATGACATGCTACATTATTTCAGGGTGGAAGTTACATTTTTGAGTTTAAAAACTTCTCCGATCTTCATGTTTGCCGGGAGTTTGTGGGTAAGCCAGGATTCAAATTATAAGCAAGCCTAGTTTGTTAAGATGTAATGCAATTTACTACCTTTCTTTATCCCTTTAATTTATATAACTGTAGGTTCATTTCCTGAAAGATGGCCAATTTTGTGAAATTTACCAATGGATTTGATAAGCCCCCAACTAACTTTAACTATTCATGAAAGGCAAATATGACTGCAGGGGATGCAAAATGGTGAATGTTATAATTAGTTAGCTTTAGAAGGGCACCTCATACATACCTAGAAATTAGTTATAGGGGCAAAGTAAGGAAGTACCAAGTGATATGAGGTTGAATAAAGAATGATAAGTCTAGGGCCAGGGATGCTAGGTAGGGAATCAAACTACGAGCTTGCATTTGAGAGAATAGAAGGAGATTCTTGAATCTCTTCCTAGGGATTTTTATTGTCTTATCAGGACCTGAGGAACACTATAATTTATACTACTGTCCATAGTAATGTTCAAATAATTTTTGCAATACATCTCTATTCTTTGACATTTTACTTATACTCTTTTCCTGTATTTGTTGGGTTCTCTAGCCTGATGGTTTGGCATCTGGTACCTTCTCCAGGAAGTGCTCTGGCAAAGTCAGGAGAGACTGCACAAGCTTCTTCTGAGAGGCATGTAGCCACATTTCCTCATGAACAACTCAGTAAACTGGAAATGGAACTCCGAATGAAATGTTTGCAAGAGGACAGGTAGACCGATGCCCCATTTCACTTTTAACAAGGAGTAATTATTACCTTCATTGTTTCATGCTTGTCAAGTCCCGTAACATCTCTCATTCCACAATTTATTCTGCAGTGAACTGCAGAAACTTCACAAACAATTTGTGATTGGTGGTGTGTTGACCGAGTCTGAGTTTTGGGCAGCAAGGAAGGTGAGTGGAGAACTTTGTTTCCCTTATCTGTTCTGCATTTGAAGTTGACCTTTTAGCTAGAATTCTGACTGTATTTTTAGTGTGATCTTGATCGCAAAAGCATATTTTCAGGAGAATATAATATTTTCTGCAACTGATTGATACAGAAATTATTGGAACGAGACAACTCCAAGAAATCAAAACAGTTGGTTGGTTTCAAGAATTCAATGGTTTTGGACACCAAACCAATGTCTGATGGTCGGGTACACAATTGCTATCTTTTCCCTGCTCTATCAAACCTGGTTTATGAGTCATTAATATCTTATCTGTCAAATCCTTTCCCCTGCTTGGTTTAATTGGACAGGAACTTAAGATTGTTATTTTTGTTCTGCTCTCAGACAAACAAGGTTACGTTTAATTTGACACCCGAGATCAAATATGAGGTACTTTTATCCCCTCTTTCTCCCCTTAGTGACAATTTGAGCTATCTATGGATTTTAGTGACTGGAAGGTTTTATTTATTATTATTTTTGCTGGTAAGTCTATTGAATAATATTATGTTTCTTATAGTTGGAGTGCTTTACACAACGACATTTATAATTGCAACACTTTCTTGATTAATATAGATTGGGGGTATTGTTCAGAAAAGCTACTTGTTGGCAAGATGATGACCTATCACCCTGGCTTTTATATTAAGCCTCCTTTTTATTAATGGAATGTTTATTTTCTTACAAATAGAAAAAGGAGAACCGCACTGTATATTCTCTTGGTCTTGTCTAAGTTTAGGTAGAAGAGAACTTACTTGTTGTACATTACAACCACATATACATGCCGAATTGGAAATATTTGTTTATACAGTTAAACCTTGACAAGACCACAATTTTACAATATTAGTCTTCCGCTTGAGTTGAAATTACAAAAATAAGAGGGTAGCCAAAAATATTTTTTTTTGATAGGAAACAAATTTTATTGATAGCATGAAATATAGGGGATAGCCAAAAACCTCAAGCCAAGGAAGTTACAAAAAGGTCCTTCAATTGGCACATAGAAAATATAAGCTATAAGAATATAAAGGAGCAAAGAATTTGCACCAAGAAGGACCAACAAAAAATGTGATCTAAAAATCTCCCAAAGGATTTTTTGTTGTAGGAGACCCTATTATTTCTTTCAAGCCATGAGCACCATATCGTAGCCTTGATCAAATTCAGCCTTAGTATTCCTCTCTCCTTTGTAAAAGGTGGCCTTCAGGGAACGTGGAAAGCAGCAAGATGACGTTGGTTGGAAGGGAAACTTGCCAGCCAAAACAGTTCATAAGAAGGGTCCAAAGAGCAAAGAGAAAAGTGGTTTTGAGTTTCTACGTTCTCGTTCCTGTTGCAAAGGAAACACCAGCCTGTGATAAAAGTAGAGTGAAGATTTCTTCTCTAGATGATGTCATTAGTGCTGAAGCTTCCGTGGAGAGCCTAATCTTGTTTGGAAACTTTTGGAACTTGCCCTCCAAATCGAGTGACAGATGGATGTATTTGTTTATCTGTTTTTGTCAACTAGGTCACAAATGAAAGATGAAGGAGGAGAAGAAGAAACGACCAAAGAAAATGGAGAAGAAATAGAGAAAACGAAAGGGAGTGGAGAAAATGAAAAAATATATGAGAAAGAAACCAGATGAGAAAACGGAGAGGAGAAAGAGAAAATCTTGGTGAGTTGGGCCTAATCTCATAAGGGCTAGTGGCTGAAATTAAATTTTTTTTTTAAATTTAAATTCTCTTAAGTACGTGTCCCTCTGTGTCCCGACGTGTCTCCTTTGTGTCCGATAAAAAGCAAATTTCGGACACTCTAATTTACATGTCGGACACGGTCGACCGTTTAGGTGTCCAACATGTGTCCGACACCAACACTCTAGCCATTTTTAATGTGTACGTGCTTCCTAGCCTTTTGGCTGTAATATCTTTCAGTTTGTGTATAGCAGCCCATGGGGCCTTTGGATGAAGAGATGGGAGAAGATCCTGGCTATAAATCTAAGGGAGGAGGCACAAACTTTGATACACTACAATAACTTTCCTCCACAAATCCCATTCTTTTACATGAAATCTCCTATGTCGTTTTGCAAGGAGTAATAAGAAATATTACGCTTCTTGACGTTGCTAATGCCAAGCCCTACCCATTGAATGGGTAGCTGAACCTTGGACCAATTGACTAAGTGTTGCCTGCTTTTGGTTTTTCTCCTTCCCAAAGGAAGTTTCTAAACAGTTTCTCCATACCCTTTGGAAACTTTAGTAGACATGGGGAATATGAACGTAGGGTCCGGTAAACAGGGAAGTTGGTGAGAGTTGATTGGGTAAGGGGTCGGTTTGGCATCCTGTTACTGAAAATGAGTGGTTCCAATTGTGTGGCTTTTTCTCAATGTTGGCTATAATGGGCGAACAAAAGGAGGGAGAACGATGATTTCCATTGAGGGGTAACCCAAGATAAGAGCTAGGCCGAGAACCCCTTTCACATCTACACAGACAGGCCAAGAGATCTCTTGAGGATTCACAATTTAAGCTCGAAAGCTCAAAATTTTCGTAATTGATATTTAAACCAGAAGCTTGTTCAAATATCTTGATGATATTAGGCCTGAGTGCAAAATAATCAATGCAGGAAAAAATAATAGTGTCAATGGCGAATTTGTAGGTGATCAATGTTAAGGGCATTTTCTTCAATGGAAAATCCTTTAATGAAGTCTGGAAGGATTTATCTGAGAGGAGCCTACTTGGGCAATCTTTTATGATGATAATGAGGAGGGAGACAGTGGATCGTATTTACAAATGGCCATTGTTGATTTGAGTTTTCCTCAGTTTGCCTTCCGTTTTGCCTTCCCTCTCTCTCTCACTCCTTTTCACCCATGTTTTTTGTTTTTATTTGTCTGATGCTTCATTCTATTAAATTTTTACTTTTACTTTAATTTTTTTACATACTGTGTGCCTCACTTCATTAAGGTTCACACTTTATTTTGTTACATATATATTTTTTTCTATCATGCATCAGGCTCAATACATTGTGCTTCAAGGGATCATGTGTGTTGAAAGATAATGGTTGCAACATTGTAACCTTTTCTAGGATTCCTTTGCTCTTTCTGCATCATGTATGTTTGATATTTGTGTTTGTTGTCTCTTATTCCAAAAATGTTGAGTTTCTTGTATTATTTGATATTGGTCCCAAAATATGCATGTTGGTTTGCTTTGTGCAACTATGTTATGGACTGATTTAATAATCTGCTAACCCTTTTTGAAAATTTTTAAAATAAATGTATTTCTTTTTGATCTTGTTCAGATTTTTGCTCTGAAACCAGCTGTTCATCAGGCCTTCCTTAGTCATGTTCCCAATAAGGTAGTGCTGATATTGAAGTTACGAACTAATTTTTCAGCTTCTTTCTTGTCTATTTTAACCTTGTTTGCAATGAAGGTTATTTTGTTAATCAAATATAGGAAACGTTGAGTACTTTTGGTTTCTGTTTGCTTTTGTTCTTATTATATGTTAATGTTTCCCTTATATTTAATGACAGATGTCGGAGAAAGACTTTTGGACAAAATATTTTAGGGCAGAGTACCTTCATAGTACAAAAAATTCTATTGCAGCTGCGGCAGAGGCTGCTGAAGATGAAGAACTTGCCCTTTTTCTGAAGGATGATGAAATATTGGCTGCCGAGACTCGGAAAAAGGTAGTTTCATGAAAAATTTGGACTCTTATTTTATTTTATTTTGATACAAAACAAACATTTCAGGTCCATTTGATAACGATTTCTGTCTTTGGTTTTTCTATTTTTTGTTTCTAGTTTTCTATTTTTAAAAAAACAAAAATCATATATGTTAATACTTGTTTTTGGTTTTATGTTTTCATGTTTGATAATCATTTTTTGTTTTTTGTTTCTTAAGTTAGAGAGTTGAAGAGAAATGCTAGACAAAGAAAAATCGTAAAGGTGACAATGGTATGGGGTGCCCTCCCCGTTCTCGTCCTTACAGAAATATTTAGTCTCCATCTCCATCTTGTTCTTCGATTCCAAGGTCCAGCTCGAGGAACCCTTATTTGGGGATGGAGATTTTCGCAGGAAAAATTACCAGTTTATTAATTATATTTAATTATTTTTAGAGTTAAAAAAGTAATAAATATTTGAAAATTATATCTATTTTACTGAAAATTTATTATTTACTATTATAAATTACTAGTTTTTAAAAAATATTTAATAGTTTATTCATAATTTAGTTAATTAGTTAATAAACTATATATTTATTATTTAAAAAATTAAATCGAGGACGTCCTCTCCAGCCGGTCTTCTTTGCCCCACGATGATGCTTTTCTCCGGTAAGGTTACCCTTTTTTGGTGGGATGGATCGCCCTAGGTCAATTAAGATTGAAAACAAATAGTTCTCGTGTTCTCTTGATCCAAAGGAAAGAGGTAGATTTTTGAAGATAACAGACTAACACCTGAAAAAAGTTTTCATTATTTATGTGGAAGAAGTGGCAGTGGTCTGGCTTGTAGACGGTTTGGAGGAATTCTTACTAGTGCCTCGTACCCTGAAATTCTTCAGGAAGGTCGACTGCAGGGATGGCTTCATTTGGATGCAGAAAACCACTAACAAAAGAGGGAGCTTCCTGGAAATTACAAAAGTCCTTAACGGCTGGGGAAAAAGAAACTTAGTGGTTCCAGCCAGAGAGGAAGCAAAAGGCTGGGACTCCTTCAAAAGACTACTCCTCGACGCCACGAACGGTATTGATAGACAAACCAAAACGGTTTCCAGTAAAGACAGAATCTCTGGTCTTTCTTTTGCCAACATTGTTCGTGGTTCCTCTCTCGCTCAAAAGGGGGTTGGCCCAGTCTCCACAGACGTTCCTTGTCTGGAAGAAGTCAGGAAGATAAACTAGAATGAAACGGTCGTAGTCATAATAAGAGATTTTCATGATGAATGGGGGAGGATTCTCGAGGTCATACAACGACAGACAAAGGAGCGTTTCATTATCAACCCCTTTCAGGCTGATAAAGCTTTGCTGAGATGCCCATCAGAGGACATAGCCCGTCTTCTCACACATAACAAGGGGTGGGTATCTTTTGGACCCCTCACCTTGAAAATGGAAAACTAGAGCCCACTGCTCCACGGTCGAACTACTGTGGTTCCTTCCTATGGTGGATGGTTGCGTTTTAAGAACATTTCGCTGCATCTTTTGAGTCTGGACACTTTTACGGTGTTGGGTAATTGCTTTGGGGGCTTCTTGGATTATGCGGATTCAAATTCTTCTTTAGTGGATTGCACTGAAGTAATCTTAAAGGTTAGGGGGAATTATTGTGGCTTTGTTCCGACAGAAGTAAAACTTCTAGATAAAGACCAAGTCTATGTAGCCACGATAGATACCTTTCAAGACAGTCGGTTCTTGATGGAGAAGAAGGTCGACGTTCATGGAGGTTTCTCTCCGGCAGCGGCGAAATGTTTTTACAACAGTACAAAGAAAAATCCGGTGGACAAATGGTGAGTGGAGGATGGTTTCTTTTATCCATCGGTAACTATTTTGCCTTGCCCCATAAATGCTTTTTGTCCTTTTCCCGTAGGTTTTGCAGAGGTTGCATTAGCTCTGCTGCTGGAGGCTCAGAATTTAAACGAAAATGTCTCTTGCCTGTGGACCCCTCAGCACAGCCTGCGACCCGATTCTCAAAGTTATGCACTTTACAAGACGTCACGGGTCGACCTTTGCCGAAAGAAAGGAAAGGTAAATTAGTTTCCTTCTCCAAAGTAAACCAAACTAAGCTCTTTCATAAGAAAGCTCTTATTGGGTCCACATCGACTGAGGAAGGTACTACAAGGGCCACAAGAAAAGACAAGGGGAAGGAGCCAGAGTCAGATGGGATGTCTGTTTTTTTTGATTTGTCAGAGGTGTCCTTTTCTAGCATTGGTAGTCAACTCTCAAGTAGAGATTTGGAGGGCAGCTACGACCAAGGGGAGGGGATAGGCTCTTTACCTCCCTTAGTTTTGGACCCATCGGATGATTATTTTGTCCGTTTTGAAGAGAGAGAGGAGACTGTTGAGGTAGAATCGGAAGTTAGTGTAGCAGAAGAGTTTCAAAGAGAAGATGAAGATGATCAAGAATCAGAAATAGATGAAGCAGTTCATTTCCCTTTTACTCGGAAGATGGTGAAAGCCCTTAGAGTGTTTAATATGTGTCTTAGACCTATCTCTTCGAAAGCTGCTATGAAGGGGACCTCAGCCAAGAAGAAAGAGGCTAGGGAGATGATGCTCAGATAAAGGCCTAGGAAAAGGAGATAGAGGAGACAGGTTCAGAACTCCAGATTTTAGACGAGGGCCCTCAGGGTGTTAAATGAAGCTCCTTTCTTGGAACGTTCGAGGCTTAGGAGCCCTCTAAAAAAGAGTGCTCATCAAAGACCTTGTCTGTAAGGTGGATCTCAATTTGGTAATGTTGCAGGAGACTAAGCTGGCAGCTATAGATAGGAAGATAGTCAAGAATGTGGGGAGCTCGCGTAGAATTGGGTGGGCAGCTTTAGATGTCGAAGGATCCTCGGGAGGTCTCCTCATTATGTGGAACAAGGATGTTATAGAGATTGAAGATTCCATTGTGGGAAGCTTCTCAGTTTCTCTGCGTATTAAGTATTTGAATGGCTTTAGTGGCTAGGTTACAGTTGTTTATGGCCCATCCTCCTATAAGAACAGGGATTGTTTTTGGCAAGAGCTGATAGATTTGGCAGGCCTCTGTTCGGAAGATTGGTGTCTTGGTGGTGATTTTAATGTGGTCAGATCTCAACGGGATAAATCAACTGGGGGAAGAGTAACTCAAAGCATGCTATGTTCAATGTGATTATAGAGACGCTGGAGGTAGAAGAAGTCCCTTTGAAAAATGGTTCTTACACTTGGTTTGATTTTAGAGATAACCGGATCAGTACCCGTATAGATAGATTCTTTTTGTCTCCTAAATGGATGAATTTTTCAAAGAGATTACTCTTTATAGACAACCTAGAACTACATCGGACCATTTTCCTCTGTAGTTGAATCTTGGTAATAAAAAATGGGGGCCTGCCCCTTTTAAGGTTTGACAACGTGTGGCTAGATCATCCCTCCTTTCTCCAGAAGGTTGAATTGTGGTGAATTGTGGTGGGGGGCGTAGTCTCCTTCATGGTGGCCTGGTTTTGTGTTTATGGAGAAGCTGAGAGCCCAATCTTATTATGTGGAACAGAGATACGTTTGGGCACGTAGAAAACTCCAAGGACATCATAGCTCAAATAGAAGCCCTTGATAAAGAAGAGGAGCTCGAAATTCATTCGGATCAGTTGTCTGGTTGTAGGTTGTCCCTCAAAGCTGATCTCCTGGACATTTCTCTTAAAGAACAAAGATTCTGGGCTAAAAAATGTAAGTTGAAATGGCTTAAAGAGGGAGATGAGAATTCAAAATTTTCCATAGATGGGCTTTGTCCAGAAGGAGTAAAGCCTTGATACGCTCTCTTTGGGACAGAAACGATAAGGAGTTGCATTTAAAAAGTGAAATAGAGAACGAAGTGGTCAGTTTTTTTCGTCAGCTTTATGAAGAGTCAGGTAGTAGATTCATTTTCGAAGGGCCAAATTGGAGCCCTCTTCTCTTCAGAGCTCGTGGGCTGAAAGCCTTTAAGTCCCTTTTAGTGAGGAGGAAATTTTGAAAGCAATCAGAAGTTTGGGCAATTTGAAATCCCAGGGCCGGATGACATGTCTGTAGAGTTCTATAAAAAGGCTTGGAACATTCTGAAAGCGGACTTAGTAAGAGTGTTCCAAGAGTTTTTTGAGAATGGGATTGTTAATAGCCGTACTAACGAGACGTATGTCTGTCTGATCTTGAAGAAGAAGCAAGCTAATAAGGTTAGTGATTTTCGCCCTGTCAGTCTAGTTACATCTCTTTATAAAATCATAGCTAAAGTCTTGGCTGGGAGGTTAAAAAAGATTATTCACTTTATTGTTGATGATGCTCAAGCTGCTTCTGTTGAGGGTAGACAGATTCTTGATACTATGTTGGTGGTGGCAGAGACAGTTGGGGATTGGAGTGTCTCTAAGAAGCAAGGTTATTAGCTCGATTATGAGAAAACTTATTACATGGTGAATTGGGACTATCTTGATAAAAAGGGTTTTGGAAGAATCGAGGTTGCTTGTCCTCTGCGAATTTCTCCATTCTCATCAACAGTAGGCCAAAGGGGAAAAATTATTGCCAAAAGAGGTCTTAGGTAGAGAAATCCTCTTTCTCCCTTCCGTTTTACCTTAATTGGTGATTCTTTCAGTCGTTTAGCGAATTATTGTTGTGAAAGAAGGGTTCTTAAAGGCTATGAAGCACGGACACAGATATGGGACACGGACACGGACACGGCGATACGTCAATCCCTAAAATCTTAGGACACGAACACGTTGGGGATACGTTTTTTTTTTAATATTTTTTAGGATATATGTAAATTTAACCCAAAAAATGCTAAATACAATAAATGCATAAATATGAAGTCAATTACATCCAATGTTCAACAAAAGTTACAAAAACAAAGTCCCCAGATGACCAATACAGTGACAAAACGAAGTTCCAAAGTTCTAAAGCTATCATTTCAAGTCTCCATATCATCTTGTCAGCGTGACCATCCTCGTCAAGAATTTCAGCCTCCATATATGGTTCATCCAAAGACAAATTTGCTACTTCAAGCATGCCAACGTCTTCAAGAGAATCAAAACTATCTCCAACAATATCCCATGACTTAGTATCTCCTAGGGAATATTCTGGGGTTCTTCTTGATAAGAGACGAAGATTGTTATGAATGAATACCAAATCTTCTGCACGTTTAGGCGTCATTTTGTTCCTCTTGACAGAGTTAACAAAAGAGTATGTGCTCTAATTTCTTTCGCAACATGACGAGGAAGAAGGTTGTCCAAGTAATTAAAGGCAATTGCTTGAAGTGGGTGCATAGACACCATAAGTTACCCACCAACTTCTAGGATCTAATACATATCTATCCGCTATAGAATCATAATCTGCAAAATCTCCGGATTTTGTAGAGAAATTTGCAAATTCTGTAATCACCTTTGTACGATCCACAAGGCTACTAAAATACCTCTTCAACAACTTCATTYTCTCCCTAGTTAATTCCACATCTTGACTCGGAGGCACACGATTAGAGTATTCTGCAAGCCACTCTTCACTATAATACCTAAATTTAAGTTTTTACAAAAATGTTAAACTCATGCTAATCTCAATAATAATTAAATGATAGATAGTAATTAAGTAGTAAATACCTTGGATTTAGAGGATGTGCTAAACAATGCAGTGAAATATTGTTTTTGTTCCAACGATCAACTAGAATGGTGTGCACCACATCGGTGTGCACCACATCATAAAAATATGAATTTTCGTTCGACTGCAATCCTTCATGTCTATATATGATTTTCTTCACCTTTTTGATCATCGTATCCCACATATCATATACCAAGTGCAAA